TGCCTGGATTTCTGACCTACGGATTTTTGAGCAAACAAATGGATTTTATACTAAGCTGCCAAATTTGTGATAATTTGTTCATCAGAAATAGAATAATGTAACTTATTTTAAGAAATCTTGATTAGAAACCATGAGGCAATATTTTTTATAATGTTAGAATGTTTATTTTAGAAAAATGCTATTTACTCATACTGCATTTGTCATAGCAGGTTGATTTTATAATTAACCCAGGAATAATAAATCTAGTCTAATAAGCTCAACTGTTAAATAATAATTGTCACTCTCAAAATTAGACACATAAAGTTAATCATTTTGTAAAAATATTTGACAAAAAAAACCAAATATTGTTAAAAATCTAAATTTAAAATACAAATAAGGCATTTTGACTTTCCTTAATATTATATCTTCTGAGTCTCCTCTCTCACTCTTTCCCAAAGACAATTTAATTGTTTTTAATCTTTCTGCCTTGTTTCCTCTTTCTCTCTCTTCCTCTCCTACCCTATTGTATTCTCTTCCTTTCCTCCACTCTGCCCCCTTCTCTTTACCGCTCTTCCTGTCTCCCTCCCTCCTTCTCTCCTGGATCTTTCTCATCATTATCTATTTAAACATCCTATGTAAAAAAATTTTTAAAAAGGTGAATAGAAGAAGGAAAGAAAATAAATCTCATTAGTATCCTCTTCTCCTCTCACTCATATATAAACAATTTGATCACATTTGCTGTGGTCTCTATTTTTCCATTATTCACTTTTCACTTCATTCTAACCTAATATGCTTTAACTACTAGAGAAGTAGTTCTCATTGCTTTTACTGAAAAAATCTCTTTATCCTCTAATTGAATGTGAAGTCTTGGACTTCTCAGCAGTGTTTAACCCTAATGACCTGTGATTCCTTCTCTCCTGCTCTTTCACCTATCTTTGGCTAGTTCAAGTGTCTCCTGTCCTACCTGTAATAGGTTCATCTCTAGGCTTAATTTTTTTCTCACTCTCTCTAGTGGTGTTGTCCCAGCACATGGTTTATATTACTATCTATATTCTAAAGACTAAGGCAGGTCAGACTCCTCATTTGGGCTCAAGACATAAGCTTTAAACACCTTGACTTATATTTCTCAAAGATAGTCTTTTACAGCTTTTCACTTGCATGACTTTTTCTCCCTTTCACAAATGAGCTCTTGCCCCATCAGCAATAGGCTTTACTGGCTACTTCTTCTGTAGGTAGAATTCTGCCTCTTTGTCTTCCCTTTGTCCTTTACATCCAAGTCGCTTTCTTTCAGAATACACATGCTATCATAGCACCTAGACACATTCCTCATATAACACTGTCTTGTTTTAGTTATTGCATAGCAGTCCCCACTATGTCATCCTTTTCCAGTCCCTTCTGGTCTATTTCCTCTCATAAGAATAAGGCTTCTATTTGTCCTCAAAATATGGTATCCAATAGGTTCTCCATTAATACACCATGAAGAAGTAAAGAAATTATTGCTCAAGTCACAAATCCAATTAGTTCATGGGATCTTTTCTTCCCATACTTAAACCAACACACACACACACACACACACACACACACACACACACACACATACACACACTTTGGAGATAAATATGTACATAAATGGAGATATATGTGTGTTTTTTTTCTTTTTTTTGTGGTGCTGGGGTTTGAACTCTGAGCCTCACGTTTGCTAGGCTTGCTAGGCAGGCACTCTACCACTTGATCCATTCCACCAGCCCATAGATGTGTATATATATGTATATATATACATATATATAGTTAAGTAGTATATACATACATATATATAGTTAAATATCTAGCAAAATCTATTCATTTGTCTCCATGTCTAATGCCATTTGTGATCATCGTGTATATAGTCATGCTCATGAAATTCACGCTTTTCTTTAGCAATCTGAGAATCTGAGTTATCATTTTTGAAAATAAATATAATTATAACATAACTGTGCTTAAAATTTTTCAATAACCTTATATTTCCTTAAGATAATGATCAAAAATCTTAAACTAAAAGGATCGATTTAACCCTAGCTATTATTTCCAACTTTACTCTTTTTTCTGGTGTTAAAAAATGCCAATACACTTTTCCCCCATAATCGTCTTGATAGTTAATTGATCCAGGCCACTTTGGGGTATAGTATCAGTAGTTTAAAAGCTCATATTGTAATACTAATGTGCAGTTAGTCTTGAAAAACACATCTATCCCCTTTATTAATCTGATTTAGCACTATCCAGCTTTCAAATTTCAATTCAAAGTTTATTTTTAAGGTTTTACTTCTTCAATTTCTTCTTATCTTCTTTCACCCTTCAGATTGGATCGTTGCCCTTGATATAAGTCATTCTGGCACTATTTATTTTGCTTTTAGGTCAATTGTCATAGTTTGAAATTATAAAGGGTATCCTAGTAAGGATGTATTTTAAACGTTGTACCAAATAAGTGGAGATTCAAGATCACATTAGATCAGATTGTCATTATTGTGCAAATTCACCAAAATATCTCTTAATCAAGTGTTAGTTAAATAGAAAGGATGTAAAAATATTTTTTCCTCCTTCCCTCCCTCAGTTCCTTCCTTCTTCCCTTCTGTTCTTTCTCCTTTTCTCCATTCTTTCATTGGCAGCATGGGCAGAGTTAAGGATCAAGGGCTTCTAGGGCCTTTCCAGAAGGGAGATACAAAACTCTCCAGCTTCAAAACTAATAGTATCTAACCTAGAAAATTGGGGTATTCTTAACTTTTTCACCCTCAAGAAGAGAATTCATTTATTCTAACAGGTTGACACCTGAGAGGAAAGGGGAAGCCAAGACTGGAAACTTGTTCTCAACTCAGTAGTTGGAATATGCAAGGTGGCAGTTTCCAGTAAAATATGCAGAGTTGAATATATCTCCTCAGCCAGCTTCCTTGGGACTTTACCAAACTGTGGAGAACAAATCCCAAGAAAGTGAATGTGGACTGAAAGAAGTGCAATTGGAAGCCCAGAATGAGAAATCTTATATTCAGGAATAACGGTAGACAACCTAATCAAGATACCTTTGGCAGTGACCAAAGAGTAAGAGCTTAAGAATAAATGGACATCTCTTTTTAAAGTAGAACAGAACCCATCTTGAGTGAGTAACATCCAATATTATACTTGAGAACAGTTTGGGGAGAAAGAGAAAGGAAAACTGAAAAAAGAATCAGGACGTTCTGCTAAGAAAACTGGGTAGAGGAAGGCTATGGGTCATGCTTATAATAAATACACAACTTTTATGTCTGACTCCCATATAGACTGCAAGTTCAGAGCAGGCAGTGATGTAGTTCTCTTCACTCATTGAACTACACAAAAGTTTGCTCAATTCTTGCCAGAATTATATGCTAAATTAATAAATAGTTGAAGATATGGGAGGAAAATAACTACCAGTATTATAATTGCATCTGTGTATGAACTGCAGTGACCACAGATGAGAAAGTGATTAATCTTATTTGTGTGGAGGAGAAACTCCAAGCACATCTAATGAGTAAATGCCTGTCACAAGACGGAGTTCATGAGATTTTTTTCAACAGACACTTCTTGATTTGATTAGTCACTAGCAGTAGGGATATTCTGGGTTAATGTTCCCCAAGAAGGCATAAGAAACAATTCAAGAAGTCAACAGAAAACTGAGGTCAAAATTTCACTTGTCTCATTCTGTAACACTTGGCAGTGTTTAAATAATTTCTTCTCCACAGACTCAAATCATTGTATGTTTGAAATTTTTTAGTTACTAAAAGGGTTTTAATAAATGTACATCAAGTGTGTTTTCTGGGTCAACCCAAGTTACAATTTTGAACTTCCTACTATATATTCCTCAAAAATTAATTCTAGGATATGTTCTGTGGAAAAAAAATAGGGAGGGGAGGTTCCAGGATCATATATCTAAGTGGCTTTTAACACTTTGTGAAATCTTAACTAGCAAATTATCTCAATATGTAATCAGAGATATTGGTAGGGTTTCTTTTTTACCTTACCAAGAAGACAAGTTCAAGCCAAGCAATAGTAATTTAGGTATCTCTCAAATATTTAGTTAAAATTAGTCTATCAGTAGGAGAAATATCCAAGGTTCAATACTATATACCTGATAAAAGAGTGCTCTCATTCTAAATGCAATGGGAATTCGATAATACATTAAATGATATACTTCACAATATACCTATAAAAATAGACCCGAGTAGCAGAATAGTATATGTCATAAATATGACTAATTTATAGACATTTTCATTGTTTAAATATAGAAAATATGCTAATGAGCACCTGGCAAGAAAAAAAAAATCAAGCTTTTAAGAAGACAACCAAAGGAGAGAAGAGACTGATTTGGAGATGATGATGTGGACTCCGACTTCATTTTGTACATTCCATTCTTTAGGTTTTGTTCGTTCTCTAATGTGATAAATATGTTATTTTAAAATCACAAAAGTTTAACATTTTAATAAGAATGGTAATTTTTGGATTATAGGACAATGGAAGCTATGTCTTTTCCTTTTAATTTTTTCCTAGTGACTTAGTCCTTTTATTGCTTTAGTAAAAAGAAAACAAATCTTTTCAAACACATTTTTAATGTAAAAAAGAAAAGGATTGGAAGAAAAGTACTTATAGTTCCAGAAACAAAATAGTCATTAATGTTTGGCAAATACCTTTTTTTTCCCAACATTTGAGTTTTATTTTCCTAGGTTAGAAAACCCTAGAAACAGAGGCATAAGCGTCATATATAGACATAATTGTTACTCATTCAGATTTTAAAATACAAAAATTGCCATGCCCATAGTAAAATATTTAAATCACACAGATATATATATAGTGAGAGCAAGTAAAAAGTGAACACACACACTGTTATGGAACTATACATGTATATTTATTTTATATTTGGAAAAAAATAATCATACATTTTATTAATCTATGTGGGATGTATTTTCGATATTAAGCAAAAGTGATCATACCTGTTCTAGAAAAATACACCACAGAACTAATAATGGCAAAATACCTACCTCTTTCTCCAACATCAAGCCTTCTGCTCTGAGGTTCTTTTCAAATGTGTTCCTTTTGTCATATTGTATATTTGTCTTTCTATAAACCAGGATGTAATCAATTCGTTTTTTGCCATCTTTGAATAGAAGTCCACTAGATGCTATGTAATTCATGTCATTCTGTGAATAAAACAATGGTTATTAAAAGTACAAGTTAGATAAACACACATTTCAGTTACAGTTATTAGCAATCCAACATTTTAAAAATGTGTTTTTTATATTCTTATTGTTAGATATGGAAAGCTACTTAAAGACAGTCTTCAAGAAATTCAAATGGCCAAAAAACACATGAAAAAATGCTCACCATCTTTAGCAATAAAGGAAATGCAAATTAAAACCACACTAAGATTCCACCACACCCCTGGTAGAATAGCCATCATTAGCAACACCACGAACAACAGGTATTGGCGAGGATGCGGGGAAAACATTGGTGGGAATGTAAACTAGTACAACCACTCTGGAAAAAAATTTGGAGGCTACTTAAAAAGCTAGACATTGATCTACCATTTGATCTAGCAATACCACTCTTGGGGATATACCCAAAAGACTGTGACACAGGTTACTCCAGAGGCACCTGCACACCATGTTTATTGCGGCACTATTCACAATAGCCAAGTTATGGAAACAGCCAAGATGCCCCACCACTGACGAATGGATTAAGAAAATGTGGAATTTTATGCAGCCATGAAGAAGAACGAAGTGTTATCATTCACTGGTAAATGGATGGAATTGGAGAACATCATTCTGAGTGAGGTTAGCCTGGCCCAAAAGACCAAAAATCGCATGTTCTCCTTCATATGTGGACATTAGATCAAGGGCAAGCACAACAATGGGATTGGGCTTTGAGCACATGATAAAAGCTTTAGCACACAGGGAGGGGTGAGGATAGGTAAGACACCTAAAAAATTAGTTAGCATTTGTTCCCCTTAACGCAGAGAAACTAAAGCAGATACCTTAAAAGCAACTGAGGCCAATAGGAAAAGGGGACCAGGAACTAGAGAAAAGGTTAGATCAAAAAGAATTAACCTAGAAGGTAACACACTTGCACAGGAAATTAATGTGAGTCAACTCCCTGTATAGCTATCCTTATCTCAATCAGCAAAAACCCTTGTTCCTTCCTATTATGGCTTATACTCTCTCTATAACAAAATTAGAAATAAGGGCAAAATAGTTTCTGCTGGGTATTGAGGGGGTAGGGGGGAGAGAGAGGGGGTGGATTGGGTGGTAAGGGAGGGGGTGAGGGCAGGGGGGAGAAATGACCCAAGCCTTGTATGCACATATGAATAAAAAAAAGAAAAAAAAAGACAGTCTTCAATCTGCCATAAGAGACACACTGACAAGTTGTAGTTCAGGATTTGAAATGGGGCTGTCTCCCTCATATGTACATTATAGACCTAAAACAAATGCAGTAATACTATTGGATATGGGTCACACACTATGGGAAGAACATGTACAGGAGAAATAGGGAAAGGGAAGTAAACCTAAAACTTGAATGTGGTTGATGTGCCCACTATACAGAAGCAAATATACTAATCTTAAACCTGCAGAGACCACTATGGGAGGGAGACCAGGAAGCAGCAAAGAGGTGTGGCAGAGATGAACCAATGTGGGCTGCAATACTCAAGTGCCTGGAAGTGACACTAGGAATCTCTCCATATAGCTATGTTTACCTCAAACTAGCAAAAAAACTATGTCTTTCTTGTTATCTGTTGTGTTTTCTCTTCAACAAAATCAGGAGAACAAAAGGGCAGAACATGTTCTGCTTGGAAGGTGGGGAGGGCAAGAGGAGGGAAAGGTGGTCCAAACAATGTCTATACATGTAAGTAAATGTAAAAACAACAAAATAAAATAAATACAGGGGAAAAAAACCCAAGGAAATGTGACTGACTGATTCCTAAACTGGGGTTTGTTGATTCGGGAATCAACATGTGTATGTTTTATTTTTTATTCAATAAGGAACTACAAAAATAACATCAGCTACAATACATTCAGTATTTACTAAACCATGTTCAGACATAAGTGTTTTCCATACCTTGTGTTATTTAAGTACTCACAGCTTATATTTAAAATATGAAGATACTAAGTCTGCAAGAGCATAAATACTAAGAAATGGAGAACAAAGTTATTTCCTGTGTTAAAACATACTAAGATAAGGCATTACTTCCCTACACCTGTGTTCAACAATGCTGAAATCAAACAATTCCTGAGTTGCTTGCTTCAAGAAATATTTGCTTTTAGGATATCAGACCATGAACCTACTGAAATAATAACCATTTATATGTTAACAACACACAATTGACATTTACAGACTTATACATCCAACTGCCTCTCTTCTTGATTTCTTCCTTTGTATGTCTAATAACGATCTCAAAGTTAACTGTCCAAAATGGAATTCCTTATCTTCTCAGAAGAGGGTTTCCCCACTTCTTTTTATACTTCAGTTGCTCAGATCCAAAGTTGGAAGTCATCTTTGTTCCCTGTCTTTCTTGCCCATAGAGTCTTCTAATAATCAGAAAATCATTCAAAAGGTGTTTAGAAGGCAGAGTTAAGTTCAGGTGTTAGAAAGCTGACCATTTCTACCACTTCTATTACTTCTACTCTGGTCTAAACAATAATCAAGTTTTGACTGATTTATTGCAATAGCCAGACAGGTCTCTTGGCTTCTATCTTGGTCCTCTGTAGTCTTTTCTCAGCATGAGTGATTCTCATAAATGTAAATGTGATCCTGTGACTCTTCAAAAGATTAAGCGTCTTTCTTCAACATGTTTCAAGGCTGTCTATTTCACTCCTTACTCTGGATCTTGCTTTTCCTCATCTAATTTTTTAGTACATGCTAATATTAATATGCATGCAGCATATGATTTATATTAACAATTTATTTATAGCCAATAAATAATTAATTATATAAGTTGGTTAATAATTTAATTAATAACGATTATTTATTTATTATCTTTTTGTTACTGTCTTATCCTGCTACAATATATATTTTTTGGAGCAAGAGATTTTTAAAAATTTTTTTCAGTTGTTACACCAAACATTTAACCCACAAGCAAACACATAGTAAACACGAGTAAATATTGGTAAATGGAAGGAATAATAAAAGGAAGGAAGGGAAGGAGTAAAGGAAAAGAATATACACAGTTGTTTGTAATCATGTAGGGCTAGACTAAAAATATAAGACTGAGAGAATATTGTGTGGTAATTTATCATCCTATCCTATTAAATATTTACAACAGCTAAGATGAACACTCACACAATTATAACAGCACTGCAATGGTAATGTCTTGCCCTTTTGCTTTATACACACGACACACTGCTTTGATGCATCTCCATGCTGATCTAAACAAGACTGAGTAAAAAATTAAATAATGTGCAAAATTTCCTTTGCATTTTCTTTTTCTTATGGTATACCACTTTCTTCAGTGAAAAGTCACAGCTGAGTCTTATTGTACCAACACATGTTTAACCATGTGGAGGAAAAACTTCAATGAGATGACCCAGAAATCAAATGATTGGCCAATGTGGAAATTGTTCAATTTAGAATCAGGGTTTTCACAATTTATTTTTCCCAGGAGACAGAATGAAATCAACTTTTCAAAGGGAATCTGGGATGTAGGTTATTTATCAGGTGACTGCCCAATCCTCCAGCAGTATTGCAAACATCTTAATCATTAATGCATTTGCAAACTTTGAAGGTCTGATGTTTCCAGAAAAGCCAATCTTAAGGAACAGCTCAAGAATTGGTAACTCATGGCTCTCTTTGAGAAGGGACATTTTACAAAGGTTTGAGAGGTGAGTTGCATGAGAGGGAGCATCACAAGCACATGAGGGGCAGGATTTGATCTGTGCTGCCCAGGATGTAAAGGTGAGAAAGTGGCTGAGGCTCTTTCCCTGAGGGCTAGGCCTGCAAACTTGGTATCATCTGACTTTCCTCTCCCACCCTTCCCCATCCACCCCGCAGCCAGCTGCACAGTGGTTTGCCTCTGTTGACAGGTGAATGTTTAGGTTCTAGAGTTCTCTGTTGTCTTTTGTGGCCCAGTCAGGCCTTGTCAGCAGCCATAGCTGCCTTGGCACCATGGAGGGAGCCAAGGCTGCTATTCTGTGGTACTTGAAGCTAATCCTGAGCCAATTCTACAGGCTTGTGGCAGCAGACCCTGAAGAGCTCAGACCACACCCAAATCTCAGTACATTTCCATGGGTGCTGGTGGGTGATATGTGTGGCTTTGGTTGGACTTTTGGCTCTTCTCTTCTTTTTGTGACTTCATGCCGTAAAAGAAAAAACACTTGATGCAAAGCTTTCTGAACTGATGGAGGAAAATGGTAAACTACCTGAAAAAGTGAGCCTCACTCGAAAAGAGCTTGAAGTCTTAGAGTCATCTTTGAAGAATGCCAGTTCTGAGAAGATCTCAACAGAAGTAAAGAGTTTGAAGGCAACCCATGGAGAACTGGAGAGATCTAAATCTCAATTTATGGATGAATGCTCCTTCTAGAAAAAGAACTAAAAGAGGAGAAATCTAAATATTCTTAACAACAATTGAGGGCAGAGCTATAAAAAATGGAGCAGTCTCTAAAGGAGGAAATAAAATTCTTCACATCACAAGTAGCTGAAGCCAGAGAAAACCACCTCACACTTCAAACCAGTGAAACAACTAAAAGGCTCAATCATAGAGGCTTTGAAGGAGAACTTCCAACTGCAGGCAAACCAGAAACAGCTTCTATAAGAAGTAAAAGCACTGAAGACACAAGTACATGAACTTAAAAAACAGAAAACAACTCTTGAATACAAGGTAGCATGTGCAGAAGAAGTGCTGTATGACAAAGAAGACCACACATGGAGTCTGATTTCACGCTTGGCAAAGATGAGAGAGTGGGCTGCTGTGCTGGGAGAAGACCTAACTACTGATGGTGACTTCAGATTACAAATGACTGGATCAGAAACTGTGGCTCATGTAGAAATTCAGCCAAAATCTGCTTTGGAGAAACTGGTGTATGATGTGATGTTAAAGGTGTGCTTACAAACCATGGAAGGAGGGAGAAAGCATCTAGTTGTTTGAAGTGAATAAGATAAAGCAAGACCTCACAATTCATATTAAAATACTCCACACTGAGCCAGCTGTCAT